CTTGGCTGAGTTCTTTATCTTTTCATTTGATGTTTTACGGTTTCAGGATCGTTGTTTTCTCTGTTCGGCTTAGTTTTTTGGATCTTTGCTGTGGAGGGACGGCATGGTGCTTCTGCCTACAGCGCCATTTTGCCGGAAGTCTTAGTTTTGGTTAAAGGAGATGAGTTTTGAAAGATAACCAAGACCTTATTAGGTGGGCAAACTGTAGAAGGCACAGCAAATGCAGGAGGATCAGAAAGCAGAGCATATTAGGAGAACAGAGAGGGCTCCAAAATGGCGGGAGCACAGGTGAGCATAATGGTGAATAACTGCAATAGCAAAGAGCAATGGCAACCTTTAACTGGGACAGAAAATAAATGGTGGCAGCATGACTAACGTTCTCCAAGGTTAAGTTTGGTTAAACGCAAACACAGAAGTGTTTTCCTCTGTCATTGAAAAAAAAAAAAAAAAAGGAAAAGGAAAAAGAAAGAAACTTTAATTTGAAATGTTCCCCTCCTGGGAGGTATTTGTATAGCAATCTGAAACTCAGAGTACTGTATGGGTAATTAGCTAAATGGGATGAAATACTTAACCTCAGAGATTCTTGCTCATGACAGAAGTTAAAATGAAAGCCAAATCTGTGGTTAAGAAGGAATGTTCCCCCTGGGTCATACTGGCAAGAATCTTGAGGGATTTTGGTGGTTATTGCTGTTTCCCTCTTTCTCAATTTACCAGACACTTCGCAGGAAACATCCATGTTTCCATGTAATGTCAAAGAGATCAAATGTAAAACATGATGCGATTCTATGCTTTTTCCTAAATAATTACTTACATTATTTTTCCTGGAAAGAAACAGACAACCTAGTAGCTTGGCTGACAGCACCAATTTGCCCTCATGTAAGAGAATAATTTTAAGACTCTTTTAGGTTCCAGGCCCACAGGCATAGAATAATTGAAGAAGAAAGATGTGTTCTTAGATTCTGAATGCATGGCTTTTTGTAACTCAAGAATTTGGAGCAGATTTGGTGCTTCTGGTTTGTGGTGTAACACAGAATCACTGTATTACCTCATGTGCCCTATGATTATATCCCTTTGTTTCTTTGTTCAGTATGGAGCTCTGAATGTATAATTACTTTTCAGTGTTACTACCATCGTACCTAAGGTAAAAAGAGAAATCATTAAGTTCTTCTTAGCCACAGGCACCAAGTTATATAAAGAATATATAAAGGTAAGAGAGAAAAGCTATTTTTTTTCTTCCCATCTTTGTTTCTTGTATATCTAGTATTTTAAAACTTTTACTTGCACTCTCACATTTAAATTGAATTTCTGTCCTTCCTTTTCTTGGGTCCTCTATCTTTTGCTTTACCTATCAGTGTGCTTTGTTTATTTTTTTAGGTTTTTATCCCTTTTTAAACTACTATATCACCAGTGCCTGGAACAGTACCTAGCACACTGTGCTCAATATGCATGCTTGTCAAATGAATGAACCAAAAAACATTCACTTTAGTCAGATATTAAAACAACAACAACAATAAAAACAGCAACAATTACAATTAGGTTTAGGCTTTATCCAGTGAAGATCCTGATTTCCATTTCCTCATCTAACTACCTGCCATTAAGTCAGTTCTGACTCATGGTGACCCCAAGTGTGTCAGAGTAGACTCTGCTTCATAGGGTTTTCAATGGCTAATTTTTTAGAAGTAGATCACCAGGCCTTTCTTCCAAGGCACCGCTAGGTAGATTTGAACCCCAACCTTTTGGTTAGCAGCCAAGGATGTTAAACATTTACACCAACAAGGGGCTAGACACTAAGTCCTTTTGAGAAGACACAAACTTGACAAGTTCACAGAAACTCTTGCAAAGAAGTTCAGTGATGTGCTAAAGTGTCTACAGGGGTTTTGTACCTTAGGGACAGCACCGTCGTTTCTAACTTAACCGTGACAATCTAGCACCTGAGGCCCTTTCATACTTGGGTTCCATAACCTTACTTTGACAAATGTTCTTTCTAAGAACTTTCGTAATGGCTCCCCATCTTACCCCAAAATTATGCGTTTTGATTTCTCTTTTAATCAGGTTTTAGGATTCTGATGCATATATTTTGCCACCATCACAATATGATAGCTCATAATCCTGCTTTTGCTGCCTACTATTTCCTTCCTTAGCTAACGCTTCATGATTATCTGTTGAATACCTTAATTTTTTTTTTCCAACTCAAATTTAATAGTTTAATTTTTCTCTTAGCTCTTGTGGCCTTACTTTTCTTTTTAATTCTTTACAACCAAATCAAGTAAGTTTATATTTTCTTGTTTCATATAATCTCCAAGAGGTAACCCTGAAATCTCTTGTTTGGAGATTAACTGCTATAGAATGAACCATTCTCTTCCATTCATTTTGTTCAAGAAAATTTTCCAAAGTGATCTTCTTCTCTTAACTGTAATTATGCTTCATTTCCTCAGAAAAATCTCTCAACTCTTGTTTTGGATAAAGGCTTTCATAATCTAGCCAACTACATATTTTTTGTTCTATTCATGTCCTTTTTTTTTTTTTAAATAAAACATCAGCGATTTATTAACTTCATCAGATCTACTCAAAGCTATGAAAAGAACAAAATTTGAACCATCCGTGCAGAGATTTTTATTAGCTATACCTCAAATTACCTTTAATTGTTTCTACGCACAAAGATAGAAACTCAGAGCAAATTTTCCTTCTTCCAATATTAAGATATTCCTCTATTTAGCTTACAGAAAATTCCTAGAGAGAAAATTTGTTAAAGGGCGGAAGTAAAAGAGTCCATTGATTCAAAAATGACAATCATTATTCTTTTCTTTTAATATTACAAATTTTATATAAAAGCTGCTGAGATGGTCTAAAACATGCCATTTTTATCACTATTCAAAGACCTTAAACTCTAGAGGTCTGCTACTTTCCAGCTAACTTTAAATTTTTGCTTCATTTTCAAGACTCAACACCATCTGACCTTACCTAATCAACAAACTATTTCATCTTTAAATATGAATCTTAGCTCCCTTGGAGTATTTTCATTGGCTGGCAGTGATGGTACCTGGGGCTCAACCAAAATCTTCTAAATACTGGCAAGTTATAGAACAGTCTGTTTTGTTACAGAACAGTTTCTTTTATAGGTGACCCCAGGGTTGTCTGGTATTTGATATAGCAACAGCCTGCCTAGAAAGATGCTGAACTGCCTGATAAGACATCACTGCAAGTTGTTGCTCAGAAAAAATAGACCAAAAAAAAGAAAAAGTTAGTAGGATGAAAAAATAGGTTTGCACGCTGTTATGGATTGAATTGTGTCCACCCAAATATGTGTTGTAAATCCTAACCTCTATATCTCTCTGTGGTTATAAATCCACTTGGGAATGGGTCTTCTTTGTTATGCTGATTAGACAATATTAGTGTAGGATGTGTCTTAAGTCAATCTCTTTTGAGATACAAAAGAGCAGACTGAGCAAGCAACCAAGCAAGCACAGATGGGGGAAGATAGATGCCACGCCACATGACGTCTCCAAGGAACCAAGAAACGGAAGCTGAAGAGCCAAAGACTCTCCCCCAGAGCCTACAGAGAGAGAAAGTCTTCCCCTAGAGCTCCGCCCAGTTCGGACTTCTAGCCTCCTAAACTGTGAGAAAATAAATTTCTGTTTGTTAAAGCCACCCACTTGTGGTATTTCTGTTATAGCAGCACTAGGTAACTAAGACACATGCCCTTCGACCCTTGGTCCTAGCATTATAATTTTAGGAATTTATCCTAAGGAAGTAATCAAGATTGTGTTGTTATAATAGTGAAAATTTGCCACCAACATAAATGTTCAATAATAAAATTTCTTTAGAAGGATGGTACATCAATGTAATGTAATTTTCTATGTAAACTTTATATAAAGAGAAAAGCAATTTTTTAAAAAAAAATTTATTGTGGTAAAATATATATAATAAAAACTTTTCCATTTCTACCATTTTAAAGTGTACAATTCAGTGACATTAATTACACTCATAATGGTATGCAACCATCACTACTATTTCCAAGAGATTTTCATCTCTCTAAAACATTTTTTCATCTTCTGAAGAAATAACTCCCCATCACCCACTCCTGCCCCTGCCCCCCCACCTCTGGTAACCAGCTTTTAAACTTTGGTCTCTATACAGTTGCCTATTTTAGATATTTCATATAGGTGGAATATGAAATTTGTCCTTTTGTATCTGACTTATTTCATTCAGTATAATATTTTCAAGGTTCATCCATGTTGTAGCACGTATCAGAACTCCATTCCTTCTTATGACTGAATAATATTCCATCATATTCTCTTTATGGCAATAAATTTCCCACTGAGAACTGTATCTGTTGCATTCCCCATGTTTTGGTATGCTGTGCTTTCACTTTCATCCATCTCTAAGTATTTTCTAATTTCCCTTATTATTTCTTCTTTTGCCCATTGGTTGTTTAATATGTGTTAATTTCCACACATTTGTGAAATTTCCAGAGAAAACTATTTTGATATGAAAAAGTAAATAGTTTATTTCGTGAAAAAAGCAGGTAACGAAATTATGTATAATATGACCCTATTTTGTCAAAAAAAGACAAAGTATATAAATGCCTACAAAATGTTGAAAGTTGAGATATCAAAAAAATTAACAATGGTTAGATCTCAGTGTTAGGATTAAAGCTAATATACTTCTTTATGCTTTCTTCTATTTTAAAGTTTTTAGCAAAAGTATATTATACTTTTTAATGAGATTTTTAAAAATGTTATCAAATTTTATATATTTTTTAAATTTTTAAGTAGTTTGGAGACGCTAACAGTATTTTCTATCTTTTTCTTTTTGTTGAACATGCACTTCCTTTCTCATTTCTGCTTTGCTCATATCCACACATACTATCAGGAAAATCTTTCTTAAATTTAACTTACTAATCCCAAATTTCAATATTTATGCTTTTCTCTCTGTTGAAATATGACTTGGTTCTGACCTCTGATTCAAAATAGTGCATTTTAAAAGAAAGAAGCTCTTACCTGAATGTTATTCAGTTTGTCCAAAATACGACTTGCAAGTTTAGGACCGTTCTCCATAGTTGGAATGTGTATGGTCTATGAAAGAAAAAGAGACATGAGATAAGATGAGGAGAATACTCTTGTACACAGTGAGAACAAGCAAGATACTTGGCAATTCCACTGTATTAAGGTTATTTCACTGAAATAAGGAAGAGCACTACGAGAACCTACTGATTACGCGGGCTAGCTCCTCCTTATATCAAAGACTCTTCTCTATTTTGAATCTGAGTAAAAACTAACTAGGCAAGAATTAGCTGTTTATTGCCTTGCAACTGATATTAGGGCACCACTAGTTTGTACACCAGTCTTTAGGCTGATCTGAGGAACCAGTGAGAAGCGAAGGATACCTAAAACAGTGATTAAACTTTAATAACTCTACCTCTTCCAGAATTCTGAGAATCTATAGAGAGAAAAGATTATCCTCCACAACTTTTAGTAGGGAATGAGATCTCAAAGATATTTTGGTCCAAACTAAAGCCAGTTTTTTTGGGGTGGAGGGGCAAAAATTAAAGTCTATGCCTTGACAAAAATGTCTTCTAAAATCTATCTCTGTTCCAAGCAAAACCTCCAAGGACCATGACTTCCACAATATAGGATACAAACACCAACCCAAACCCATTGCTGTTGAGTCAATTCTGACTCATAGCGACCCTACAGGACAGAGTAGAACTGCCCCATAGAGTTTCCAAAGGAGCAGCTGGTAGATCTGAACCGTAGACCTTTTGATTAGTAAATATAGGATAGCATAATTAAATTCATGGCAGAGAGAGATTTTCTTGCCTTATTTATATTCGAGTCATGCCTATTCATGCCTCCCTCGCTGGTTTGCATGGTTTTTCATAGTTTGATTTTAGTAGACATTCCATGCTCTCAAATAAGTTTCTTAGGGTGCCTTTTAGGGTAATAGGATAATTAGATGTACCTTTTGGCTCTGAATTGCCCCCAGAAATAAGACAATTAAAAATGTTAAACTTTATCATGTTCATATTTCTAGAAGTAAAATAATTGTACTTAAAAAAAAAAAATTCTGACCTAACAGGCACTTTAGTTCATAAGAAAGTGGACCAATAACATATTACTTTGATATAACCATAAAAAAATACTAATAACTAGCTTTATAATCAGTAAAAGTATTGATATAAAATAAGACAATTCTTCTCCTATGAAACAATAATTCTGTAGATAGAATTATGCCAGGAGTCTTTCCTTAAAAGCAAGTTTAAAAAACTTAAGCAATCAAGCAGCCACCATTAAAGTTAGCAGAAAAATCAATCCAATCAGCTGAGGAAAATTATAATGTAGAATTTAAAAACCAACAGATTTTGTATTTAATGAGTAATTTAAGCCAATTCACTTTTTAAGAATAAAACCCACATGCCTTGAAGTTAAAAAAGTTAATGCCGATGCTAATTATGAGTATCAGAGCTTCGTTATAAAGGGGAAAGCAAAAAAAAAAAATGACAAAAAAATGGAAGTAAACACAAAATCAGACTGATTTACTGGGTAGAGTAAATTTCATCCCACCAAATCTTTGAACTCCTTTTGGAAGACTTTAGTAAATGTACAAGCTCTACCAAAGGAAATTTCTTTGTAAAGCAGTATACATAATAATAATAATTACTATTATTGTTACAAATGAAGTTCATCATTCAAATGCATTTTCCATAATATTGCCATTCCTACTCCAGTATTTTGGAAGTACTTTTAGAAACCACAAACCAATTTCCTGTAGCGTCTTCCTTAGTGAACTGGTAGAGATAAGAGTGGAAGTCTGTTGGTACATCTCTAATCCCTACATTGACATAAGGCAAGTATGGTACTTTTTCAAAGATAAAACTGACTTCCCACCATGCCTGAGCTTACACAAAATCACTGGAAAGATGGTAGTAAGTAATCTGCTAATACAGGTTCATCTGGACAAACTGCCCCACCTAATGGAATGTCAAGTTATAACAAACCCCTTTGCATCCTGGGTCCAACTAGAATTTAGTTCACATCTTTTAAAAAAAATTAATTAAATTACAGGTAAGTCTTCAGAAATGACAGGAAATGAGGAAACATTGCCTTACCTCACCCTTGTATAGTATATCAGAAACTGGGCAAACAACACAGGCTGTACCAGAACCAAACATCTCTCTCACTCTGCTCCCCTCTAGAGCAGTGGTCAAGTCATCCATGGTGAGGTACCTCTCAGACACCTTAAATTCACCCTGTTTAAAATACAAAAAATAAAAACAAACATATTCGAAAGGAAAAGACATGTAAAATAACCTATGATACTTACTTTTCTACATTACATTCTGATTGAACTCATGCCATAATTATCCTTAGAGGCAAAACTGGAAAGGACAATACCGTCTTACTGGTGAACCCACTGAGGTGTTAAGCAACCTACTCCAAGGTCACAGGAATTCTAAATGAAATTACCCGAATACAAAATGTAAGACGATCACTACAAGATACATGGTATATTTTAATACAGAGTAGTAGCTTTTTTGCTTTTTGTTTGTTGTCATGGATAAAGTCTCACAAACTCTAGCACCCTGAGTGCTACTTAAGGCAGTAACAGTGTCTTATATCTTATTTTATCATAAAGGAGAATAACATTGTATTATATATTACGATGGTAATAATTTTAGCTACCATGTATCATGAACCAAGTTCTGTAATTCTGTTAAGTAGGTATTATCGTCCCCATTTTACAGCCGAGAAAACTAAGGTTCAGGGTGATTGAGTGACGTCCCCAAGGTCATAGAGCTAGTACATAGCAAAAACTGGATTGGAGCCATGTTTGATCGAACTGGCTCCACATTTGGTCTCTTTCTTTTATGGAGTAAAACTATAGCCCGAGTTCAGCTATCTGAAATATTTCATTATTTTTTAAAAGCTAAAAAGCTGAGCCTTATTTGAGAAGTTACACTGTATATATAATTTTTTCTCCCAAGTTCAGTGATTCATTTGGCTTTACAATGGTAATCTTCTTCCTTCTCCTTTAGTATCATAGTAGGGGAGTTTCATCCTAGAATTAGTGGCATAGCCTCATTGACTTCTGCTTAACTTTTAAAACATTTTATTTGCTCGATGACAGGAAATAGGAAAAAATCTGATACTTTTATTTTTTTTTAATAAAAATATTTTATTTTTAATAAAATTTTATTATTATAAAAATGTGTTTAATTCTCATTCTTTTATTTCGGTGATTAAAGCTCAGTTTGTCAACAGGCTATTTGAATTAAAGGCAACAAAGAATGGATAGTTTTTCTTTTTTTTTTAAATAAGATGAAAATACTTTTTAAAACCTACAGACCCACAATGGATAAAATGGAAATCACAGTCCTTGGCCAGATTCAAAACATTAGAAGGAAAATGTAGAATATCAGGTTTGGGTTTTTTTGTGGGGGAGGGGGGCAAGTAGATTTGGAAGGTAGGAAAATATGTCTGCAATGGAAATGTGGCCCTTTGCACACATTAAAATAAGTTTTAATTTATCTTTTTGCAATTACAATTGTGTTGTTCAAAGGTTTAAAAACAAATAAAGTCCAGAAAATCTGCCAAATGAATTGAAAACAAGCTGAATTCTCTGTTCTTGGAGGGTGGGGGTGGGGAGAAAGCCTTGTAAATAAACAGAATTGTTTTTACTGTGGTCAGCCTTCAGGTTTTTTTGGTTTGGCAAGCAGTGGTAACCCCCTACTTGCCTCTTGGCATTTTACACTGTTTTAAAATAGCTTTTTAAATAAATTGCAGCTAAAGAGTCAAGAAAAAACCTTCCTCCAGAACAACTCATTGTTCCTGTTAGCAAATCATTAGTGTGGTAAAGAATTTCCACTTGCAACTTGTCATCAAACCTTCTGTGCTTTGTTAATGTTTTTTCTTTAATAAAATAAAAATTACTGAGCTTCAAAAATGCATCTTTCCAATTGCAAACATATTTAGGACAGGGCAAGCTGTTTGAAATTATACCAATGGTTTGTAAATGTCACGCCCAATGTGACAGCCAGCATGTGCAGTTGGGTCTTGTCTACTTCGGGGTTTTGTGGGATTATTCATAGCACAGTTCCTCTATTTTCAAAGTCTATTCCAGAGAAACTGTGCTAGTACTCTTGTACATTGATAACGTGTGTGTTGCTAAACATTTGTCCTATTAATATTGTTTGACCACAGTATGCTCAAAGCCTTTTCCTGTTCCTTGGAGACCATTTTAACACATGGGTCAAAAGTTCCATCCAAGAACCTCTGCCAGACCACTAATTCAAAATTCATCTTGATTATGTTATGTCATTTCCAATACTAAATGGTTTAATATGCTTGCCTGTGTCACATAGATTTGAAAGGCTACCGAAAAGAATGTTAAATTTGCTTGAGTGCTTTGCTTTTAAAATAAGTATGTACGTGAATTTGGAGGGAATAAGGGAGAAAGAAGGCAACCAAAACAAATAATGTTACATTAGGAAACATCTGTATGTCAATAAAATTCTTTAATTTCTATCAATGGCATGGTTGCATTGAAATAAACAGAGGAAGGGAAGAAGTATGGATCATTGCTATTTGTAAACAATACAATCAGTCTTGAAAAAGTTAATGTCTGGCAAGAGAGAAGCACACAAAGTATAAAACCAGGAGTTGACAGTAGATACTTGGTATAAAGACTGTGACTAGTACTAGAATACTTCTTCATTTGGACATCCTGCCAAACTGGTTTCTCTCTATCCTTCAGAATAAACACTTATTTGATAGTCTCACCAGGACAGTTCTTCTAGAAGAGTTCTTTTCACTTGAAAGATTTAAAGATAACATCAGTTGGAACTACAGGGCATTATTTCAACACCAGGCTGGCTTATTTTTGTTACTTTTGATTTCATGATTATAAAAGTTGTTCATGCCAAAGGTACCCACCCACTTGCGTGCCAGATCCAGAATGCTCTGCCTTGTCACTCCTGGAAGAATGATGCCATCTAGCGGAGGAGTTGCCAGTTCTTCTTCTGTCAGTTAGAAGTTGGAATATTTTCAAACTTTAACTATATTAGCTATGCCTTATATCAATAAACATTTTTAAAAACCATTTCTAGCAACTTTGCTAGTAATAACCGTAAAGATGTTACTATTCTGCATTGCCAAATTTCCCCAGTCAATTCATGGATCTGGTAAGATCCTTGTTAAAAAAAGAAAGGAAAGGAAGGCTACTCATTTAATCATTTTCAATTTATCATTAATCAGTGAGAAATGAGATAGTTTTTCACTAACAAATGGTAAGTGTTATAGAATACTCTTAAGACAAATATTTTCATCAAAATTGACCTGAGTGATTGAATTGAATTGTGTCCTCCAAAAATATGTGTTATAAATCCTAACCCCTATACCTGTTGTTAGAATCTGATTTGGGAATGGGTTTTCTTTGTTACTCTAATGAGGCAGTATTAGTGTAGGATGTGTCTTAAATCAATCTCTTTTGAGATATAAAAGAGAAGATTGAGCAAGCAACCAAGTCAGCAAGCACAGATGGGGGAAGATAAATGCCATGCCACATGAGATTTCCAGGGAACCAAGAAACAAGCTGAAAAGTCACAGACTTTCCCCAGAGCCAACAGAGAGTGAAAGCCTTCCTCTAGAGCCGGTACCTAGAATTTGGACTTCTAGCCTCCTAAACTCTGAGAAAACAAATTTGTTAAAGCTACCCACTTGTGGTATTTCTGTTACAGCAGCACTCGATCACTAAGACAGTGGGGAAAAGCTGGTTAATAATCAGAATACTGGAGACAGGCCCTTACTCAGAAACACTGGTCATTACCAAACCTCCTAAGAATACTGTGGAGGAACTTTCCCCCCAGTAGTGTCTGTGCCCATGCAGGCTGGTTACTGTCCCCACATGGCCCTTTGATAAGTCTGTCTTCAGTGGTTCTCAAACCTGGTGGAGTATCAGCATCAAATATGGAGATGGTGACTTCTGCAATTCAAATCCAATGGGCTCAAGGCGGGCACAAGCATGTGTAGCTAGAACAAAACCAAAAATCACTCCATAGGAGACTCTGGAAGAGAGCCAAGGTTGAGACGCTGGTCCAGTGAGAAAGATCACAGGTACTCCTTCTCCCCATGATGGTTGGCATGATGACCCATCTATAGCAGTCAGTGTCATCTATCAACTGTATAGGCTGTCCTTACAAAATGACGTCCCTGCTACTCAATATCCTCCTTTCCTCTCCACCTCTGGCACCCAGAAACTGAATCTAGTCAGAAATTCACACCTTAAGTCCCCACTTTATGAAGATGTTTAACCTTAGAACAGATTATGCGTTGTCCATCAAGTGTATGCAGAAGAATTCACAAAGTATGCTTGAAAGGATCACCAAGTAGCAAAAGCTGTATAGAAATCACATTGATATCTTTGGACTCTCCCAACCTGTTTTATGTAGCTAAAAGAGACTTTAGAAACCATCTAGTGTAATCCTTATTTTACAAAAGAAACTGAGGCTCTATAAACATGAGTGACTTGCTAAGGTTGGTGACACTGGAAGAAAGCCAGGGCCAGAGCTCAAGTGTCATAACTCTAAGATCACTGCTCTTTCTCTGAGTATACGGCAGTCCTGGGCTCAACTTCTCCACTGTGGCTACATCAGATGTCCCCAACAACCAGACTGTGTCTGGAAGACCGAGACTGAGCTGTGTGCATCCCTACATTCCCAAAACTCGGCACGATGCCTGGCCCAGAGCAGTAAGCAATGAATAATTTTGAATTGAAAAAAATGAATGAATAATCCTCTTTGCTAGGAAACAGCAGTATGATTTTTTTTGAAATTTGTTTCTAAAACTCGTCTGCTGAAAATTGCTCTCTGGAAAGAAGAAAATTTGTTCTTGGCAATGTTCTTAGGGCTACTTTTTGTCATGTTTAGAAGTGTTGATGATCTCAGAATAAATGTGTGTTTTGCAATAGTGAGCTAGCTAGATGCATAAATGTATGGATCTATATGTGTGTGAATATATGCATGTACACACACAGAGATATACACCAAGTCCCCTCAAACTGGACCTTTCCTAAAGCTTGCTGAGCAATAGACTACATAAAGTTAAGTGAAAACAGCAGCCCCGCATGTACAAATGCTGTTTTGTGAAATATATTTAACACCCAGTACTGTAACCACTAGCCTGAGGTCAAGGAATAGAACATCTGCTTCCCTGGTTGCCAGACAGAGATGATGACATGACAACATTTGGGTGAGAAATATTCATTTTCCTCTGCAACCACAAACATGGTTACAAGAGCCAGAACTAGCTCCAGATTGCCCAACATGAGGAAAACAGAACCGACAAACACAGCTTGTTTTTGACAAAGAAATCATTTTGAGGAGATGAGGAATTTAGAAGCAATTACAGCAGGATTCATCTGTGACTTCCCAAGGTCAAGCACTATAAAGAAGTCAGTGGGAACCAGGAATATAGATTTTCCTAAATGTCCTAAACATCATAGGCAGTAGAATTATTCATTTATTCAACAAATGTATATCAAGTGCCTACCATGGGCTGTTCACCGTTGTAAGCCCTTGGATACAGCAGTGAACGAAACTGATATAGTTCCCAGCCTACTTTCTAGTAGGTAGAGACAAATAGTTATTGTATTAAACAGTATGTTAGACTGTTGTTGTTAGTTGCTGTCAATTCGATTCCGACTTATGGAGACCCCATGTGTGCAGAGTAGAACTGCTCCATAGGGTTTTCAAGGCTATGAGCTTTTGGAAGCAGATTGCCAGGCCTTACTTCTGAGGCACCTCTGGGTGGGTCTGAACTGCTAACCTTTTGGTTAGTAGTATAGGGCTTAACCATTTGCTCACTCAGGGACTCCTATGTTAGACTATGGAAGAAAAACAACATCAACACAGGGGAGGGGAGGGGGAGTGCTGAGGGGAAGATATACAATTTTAATAGGGTGCTCAAGGAGGTCCTACTGAGGATGGGATATGTGAGCAAAGACTTGAAGGAGGTGAGCGAGTAGGCCATGCAGGTATCTAAGGGAGGAGGGCTCCAAGCAGAGCCAGAAAAATACCCGGCGTGGCTGGGAAGGCTCAGCACTCACAACCGTAGTCTTTTAAACTAATTGTGAACTCAACAACAAGGACTGGGTCTTATTCTTCAGGTTGTCTCCAGTGTCTAGGACACCACAAAATTGTTTGACACAACCACATATGTCAAATTATTCATCAACAGAATAAAGAAGAGAATTGAGGCTGTGTAATCTTACCACCACAGTTGCTGTTACTAGAATCAAAACCCACACTAGTTACAGGCCCAAGTGCCACAAATAGCTATTACGCTCAGCAATGTGCTTTACACACAGATTATCTATGTTATCTACCTTTCTTGTCCAAAAGGAGTAGTGTGGATGGTTATGGAAAGTTGGCAATAAATTACTGAAAGAACTCTGCTTATACCCCCGGTTGGTAAAGTTTGTGAAAATCAATACTTTGCTTATTTTCAACCCATTTTTCCTTGTATTTTCTTAAAGGCAGGTGATATCAATCAAACTTAAGACCGAGTTGCGTCCATCTTTTTATTGTAGCCGAAAGGTTACTCCTGAGATTCTATTCACTTCTCTCATAGTACTGTTCAAACATTTATTCCATATGTCCTTTCTCCTTACTTAAGTTTTTTTTGGTCTGTTAGTAGAACACCTCCAAATTGAAATAGAACATTAAAACCATGGCTCAAGTTATCTCAGGCAACCATAATTTGAATAGTAACTCTTAACGTCTTGTACACTTTGAAATGAATTGAAGAGAATTTCACTCATTTCTATCCTGACCTTTAAAAGTTGTGATGGAAAAATTCCATGGTCATCATTTGGATAAAGGATAATTTTTCATCAGGACAGTTTCTGAGGTTTGTGGTTAAATCATGCAGCTCTGATTCTGACTATGCTTAAATTCTGACATCTCCCATCCATAAATAATGATGGCACTGCTTCTGTATGTTACAACTGTTTTTGCTTTGGGTTGTGTTTCCTTCCCTCCCACTGCCCCTCAGGGGGGCAGTGAGAGAGTAGGAAGAAAAGCTGAATCAATCTATTATCTTCTATCTACAGAATTCAACACTGGCTGTTAACTTTCAAGCATAGCTCTTGATATACGTGATATGCAATAACTCAGACTTAACCAGTTGCCGTAGAGTTGATTCTGACTCATGGAAAACTCAAATTTAGAAATCAGAAATATTCCAGTATAAATTTTGTTCTTAAATGATGCCAAGTACTGCGAGCACAGTCTGTAATTTGGCTTTTCATATGCCACGGATCACCAACGGCCGACCTCAGAGCAAGGTACACTCGCCACACCTTCTCCTCCTCCAACCTCTAACTGGAATATAAGACTCATCTTGTTAGTCTCTGTAACTGACACTCAAATTAGTGCATAGCTCTGATTCAGCCTCATCTGAATCACCATTTTCCTCTTTTCGCAGCCAAATAACACAAGAGCAATAGAAGCTACTATAACTGCTGAAAAATAAAAAGTTCATTTCAAGATTTAATTGAAACCAATACGGAAACTCCACATGTATTTGGAAGCTTACCATTTTATACTTCTAGTCACTACATTCACTACTGTGAAATGAAGAGCTTAAACCTAAAAAATTATTTCTAAATTCTGTATGACTATAGGGTCGCTGTGAGTTGGAATCGACCCAATGGCACACAACAACAACATCATAATTCCAAAACGGAAATAAAGGCATAGATCTGTATTTTCTTTCATTATTTTCCATTTAATCCAATACCACAGGCACTGTCAACACTTCACTGAGCCCCTATGATCTCTTCCAACTAAAACAAAAAACAAAACAAAACAGAAAAGAATAGCAAACAGAAGTAATGAACATCTAGGATAGTATAGGTAGTAGAGAAGCGCTTATTCTTACAGTACACTTATTTTCTAAAGGCCCTGAATGGACCAGGATCTGGTACAACAATTTCAAGGTACAGCTGATCTGCCCTTAAAAATAGTGTACTTTACGATACTGGGGAAGCCAGCACAACTTGTACAAGGAAAAGTCATGGAAGCTCCACTGACACATCCAAACTCCTTGAGGGACGGAATTGCTGGGCAGGGGGCTGTGGGGACCATGGTCTCCGGGAACATCTAGCTCAATTGGCATAACACAGTTTATAAAGACAGTGTTCTACATTCTACCTTGGTGAGTAGCATCTGGGGTCTGAAAAGCCTGTGGGCAGCCATCTAAGATATTCCACTGGTCTCATCCCTTCGGGAGCAAGGGAGAACGAAGAGAATAGGAAAAAGGAAAAGATTAGTCCAAAGGACTAATGGACCACAGCTACCAAGGCCTCCACCAGACTCAGTCCAGTACAGCTAGATGGTACCCGGCTACCACCACTGACTGCTCTGACCGGGATCACAACAGAGGGTTCTGGACAGAGCTGGAGAAGGATGTAGAACAAAATTCTAACACGCACAAAAAAAGACCAGATTTACTGGCCTGAAAGAGACTGGAGAAACCTGGAGAGTATGGCCCCAGACACCCTTTTAGCTCAGTGGTGAAGTCACTCCCAAGGTTCACCATTCAGCCAGGGATTGGACAGCCCCATAAAACAAAATGGGACTAATGAGACATAGCAATTCAGGGACAAGGACTAGAAGGCAGAAGGGGACAGGAAAGCTGGTGACAGGGAACCCAAGGTTGAGTAAGGACAGTGTTGACATGTAGTGGGGTTGTTAACAATTGTCATAGGGCAACATGTGTACTAACTGTTTAATGAGAAACTATTTTGTTCTGTAAACCTTCATCTAAAGTGAGAACAGCAGCACAACTGGAAGAATGTAATCAATGTCACTGAATTGTGCATGTAGAAATTTTTGAAATGGTGTATCTTTGGCTATGTATATTTTCACCAAAAAAAAAAAAAAAGAAAGGTTGAGAAGGGAGAGTATTGACATGTCGTAGGGTTGTTAACCAATGTCATAAAACAATATGTGTACTGACTGTTTAATGAGAAACTATTTGTTCTGTAAACCTTCACCTAAATTACAATTTAAAAAAAAAAAATAGTGTACTTTCATAAAACTGAGCTCCAGAGTAAATGTGGAGGCTTCTGATATATTATAAAAATACTATATGTAGAAATGGCCACAATTATTAAAGAATTATAGCAAGAGTGAACATTAAGTTCCATGCCAGTAGACTCAGTAGACCATGTTTATTGTTATAGCATTTTATACATAACCCACTCCACTAAAAAGAAAAAAAAAAAAAAAAAAAAAACCTGCTGCCATCCAGTCAATTTCAACTCATGGTGGCCCCAACTGTTAGAGCAGAACTGCTCCATAGGGTTTTCTTGGTAGTAATCTTTTAGGAAAGCTGATTGCCAGGCCTTTCTTCCACAATGCCACTGGATAGGTTCAAACTGCCAACCTTTAGGTTAGGAGTCGAGTGCAAACTATTTGCCCCACCCAGGGACTTATTTTATACATAGCACATGTATACTGGAGACCTCCAAATGCAAAGGTGTTCAGATAAGAGAAATGTTAAGGTAGTGACAAAGGGGATAGAGCAGCAAACCTTCAAATCATGGAAAATTATATATATTCCAAGTTCATAACATAAGATTGTCAAGAAAATGTTGACTCAAATTCCTTAAGTCCCTATCCATAATAAATATGTCTGGAGCCAAAAAAGCAGCCCTAGTGGTGTAACAGTTAACCGCTTGGCTGCTAACCCAAGGGCTGGTGGTTCGAAGCCACCCAGGGCTCTGAAGGAGAAAAGGTCTAGCAATCTGCTCCCATAAAGACTGCAGCCTTGGAAACCCTATGAGGCAGTTCTACTCTGTCACTTGACTCAATGGCACCTAACAACAACAGAGCCAAAAACCAAAACCAAAACACAACCTTTATAACTTTAGTAAACTTTAGTTCATGTCTACTTGGACAGCATAAGCACTGTGGCTCTTAGCCTTTGGAACTGTGCTGCTCCTTTGTTCTAAGGTTCTAGTTCTGTTCTTCCCAGTCCCATTGAGAAGCAGTAAAGAACTGAAACCAGAGTGGATTACCTCCATCTTCATTTATCCAGTAAAGAAAAAGATTCATTGTTCCAACTTCGGTTATCTGATTATTCTCTCCATAGAGCCACAGAACCTGCTGACACCCATTATCCATTGCTTCACATTGGGCAAAAAGAGATGAGCCATAATTCCTTTAAAACAAAGAAAACATACCGATTATAAAGATAAATCATTTTCTCCCCCCCACACACTAACTTCCATACTCTAAAATCTTCAAGTCTTCAATTCACATGTGGATGTAAGTCAACATGTTATGTTCTTAACATATCTCCTCTCTACGTGCATAACATTAACGAAAAACTCATTAGAGAAGCTCCATGATTTATCTAATTGCACTCATCTGAAAGAGCACAAAGCAGAATCTTGGAATCCTAGATACAAGAACACAAGTGAATAGCCAAGTTAATGCTAACAGTTAAGAGTTGTTGAGTATTTTTATTCATGCCAAGCAATTTTACATAAATTATTTCATGTAAACCTCACACCAATACTGAGTTAGTCGCTGTCATTTCCCTTGTTTAGATAAGAAACTGAGGCTTAGAGAAGCAACTTATATCAAATTACACAGCAAGTAAGTAGCAGATCACCAAGTCCATGCCCTCTTAACTGAGACCTTTTAATATATTCAAGAAACATCTAATGCCCAATGTCTAAATTCCCCAAATTGTGGGACAAAAATCCTGATTTTGACCTAAAAGTATTCCAAAAGTCAATTTTTCTCAATTTGCACTATTCATATCAGATTATTCAAAAATAAAAGGAACAAGACACATCTTCCTAGAACAACGAGTTTACAATAATTTTAATTCATTATCTTTTATCTAAACTTAAATGGAAAATTACAGAGTATATCACAAAATATGGATGAATTTTTAAAACATGAGCGTCCTCAAATAAATGTAATACTCGATTGCCTCCCTAAGCCCCTGGTTGTATAATTCACTTCCCTCCGTTTTTAGAGAACATTAGTGAATAATTCTGAGAAGTATTACCTTAAGAAAATCAGGACTAGGAAGTAAACTGCAGGCCCACCCTTGGACTATACAGCCCCCAGCAGGAAACAAACAAACAGCTACTACTACAAAGCATTATTGTAATCATGTAATCTTTCATAAAATAACCCCTTAGGCCTTTAAATCAGCTCTTTTACATCTGGGTGAGACTGAAACGGAGCCCTGGTGGTGAAGCGGTTAAGCGCTCGGCTGCTAACTGAAAGGTCCGAGGTTCAAATCCACCAGCTGCTCTTCAGGAGAAGGATGTAGCAGCAGCCTGTTTCTGTAAAGATGTACAGCCTTGGAAGCCCTATGGGGCAGTTCTGTTCTGTCCTACAGGGTCGCTGTGAGTGTGAACTGACTCATGAGTAAAATTAAAATGTGTGATGTGTTCTAATGTAAGTGTGAGTTAAGCCCAAGAGGCATATATTATAGTGAACATCTGCATTTTCTACTGCACAGCTTCCCTTCCCACTATTTTCCCTCTTATAAAATCATGTGCCTTTGGAGCCAAGTCAATCGGCTTGGGTTGACCATCACAGCATTTTGTCCCTGGCCAAAACTGGATGAAGGGGTGGGCATGCGACCTAAGCTGCTCATATAAATCTTTGAGTTCATTCACTCAGTCATTCATTCATTCATTTTAACGTATGAAATCTAAAAGACAGATTTTTTTTCCCCCTTCTGGGGTAGCTTACTTGGAATAATGGAAGTCTGGAGTGTTCACAATCACCACCCCTCACAGAAGACACCTAAATTAGGAGAGCCTTAGGGTAACACAGAGCCAGAAGCTATGACAAGAGATAAAAGGATGGAAGGAGGGAGGGAAGGAGACAGGATGGGAAGGAAAGAGAGCACACCCACCTGCGGGACACTACAGATTAGGTAACAATGTTTTGAGCCCCTAGCAGGTCCTACTTACACGAGCCAATCAATTCTTTTTCTGCTTAAGGTAGTTTGCAATAGTTTTCTGATTTGCAACTGAATGAATATTCCCTAGTAACTGAAATATTCTAGAAAGCTGCAGGTAATAAGCATTACAATATATGGTTATTGCAATTTGGTCCGTTTTATATCACTTAGTCCTCACAGGTAAGCTAGGTGTTATTACCTTTATTTTACAAATGAGGAAACTGAGACTTAAAACAATTAAGTAACATGCCCAATGCCATTAGATTTTCAAGCCAGGTCTTTTTGACTTCAAAGCTTGCACTTTTAAGTGCAGAAAGGGCAAGGAAAAACAAAAAAAAGAAAAGGTAGAGGGAGAGGGATAATTTAAAAAGAGGGAGCAAGAAGACTGATTCATTCCAAATTAACTAACAAATTGCTTGGGAATAAAGACGTTCCATGATGAAGGACAATATCAACACCACATGCAAACCACATGAACCACAGCCTCCACCAGCCTGAGCCCAGAAGAACTAAATGGTGTCTGGCTACCACCACCAACCACTCTGAGAGGGATCACAATAGAGGGTTCTGGACAGAGTGAGAGAAAAATGTACAACAAAATGCAGATTCACAAAAAAAGACCAGACTTACTGAAGTGACAGAGACTGGAGGAACCCCCGAGACTATGGCCGCCAGACACCCTGCTAACTCAGAACTGAAGCCACCCCCAAAGTCCACCTTTTAGCCAAAGATTAGACAGGCCTATTACAGAAACAATAATACATGTGAGGAACCATGAGGAATGTGCTTCTTAGCTCAATTAAATATACTAGACCAAAAGGGGAATGCCTGCCCAAAAGCAAAGATGAGAAGGCAAGAAGGGACAGGAAAACTGGACAAACGGACACAGAGAACCAGGGGTGGAAAGAGAAAGGATAAGAGTGCTGACACATTGCACAGATTGCAACCAATGTCACAAAACAATCTGTGTATAAATTTTTGAATAAGAAACAAATTTGTATGTAAACTTTCACCTAAAACACAATACAATTAAGAAAAAAAACCACATGCAAGTAAAATGTTGCTGAAGATAATTCAAAAACGACTGCAGCAGTACATCGACAGGACACTGCCAGAAATTCAAGCCAGATTTAGAAAAGGACATGGAGTGTGGGATATCACTGCTGATGTCAGATGGATCTTGGCTGAAGCAGAGAATACCAGAAAGATGTTTACCTGTGTTTTACTGACTATGCAAAGGCATTCAATTGTGTGGATCATAACAATTATGAATAACATTGCGGAGAATGAGAATTCCAGAACACTTAATTATGTTTATGGGGAACCTGGACATAGACGAGGTTCCACATGAGTACAATTAAGTGTTCTGGAATTTCCATTCTTCACAAAGCTACCCATAATTGTTATCCAAGAGGCAGTCACTCGAACAGAACAAGGGGATACTGTGTGGTTTAAAAGCAGAAACGGTGTGCATCAGGGTTGTAGCCGTTCACCATACTCAGGTGCAGATTATCCAATAGACAGAGTAAGCAAGGTAGACATGGGCTTATTTGTGCTTTCTTATCTGTAGTGAACAATTTCACCCTGAAACCCATGTGAAATTGTTCACTACAGGTTAGTAAGTAAGCACAAGAAAGCCCATGTTTACCTTGCTTACTGGGTCATCTGCTCCTGTCAGGGACTGTAAATTTGAAAAGAGGCTTTGATTCTGTAGGATGAGACAGATGTCAACCATATTTAGAAACAGAATCTTTGATGTGAAAAAATGTGAAACTGTTCACTGCAAGTGATCTGGTAAGCAAGATAAGCATTGTGTTTACCTTGCCTTTTGGATAATCCACTCCTGACCATACTTATTCAAGCTGTATGCTAAGCAAATGATCTGAGAAGCTGAACTATATGAAGAACTCAGCATCAGGATTGGAGGAAGACTCATTAACAACCTTGCAACATGCAGATGATACACCCTTGCTTGCTGAAAGCGAAGCAGACTTGAAGCACTTACTGAGATCAAATACTACAGCCTTCAGTATGGATTACACCTAAAAAATATAAACATAAAGAAAACAAAAATCCTCATAACTGAATAAACAACATCATGATAAGCGGAGAAAATATTGAAGTTGACGAAGATTGCATTTTACTTGGATCCACTATCAACACCCATGGAAGCAGCAGTCAAGAAATCAAACAACGGATTGCACTGAGCAAATCTTCTGCAAAAGACCTCTTTAAGGTGTTAAAAAGCAACGATGTCACTTTGAGGACTAAGGTGCACCTGCCCAAGCCATGGTATTTTCAATCTCCTCAGATGCATGTGGAAGCTGGACAATAAATAAGGAAGACCGAAGAAGAATTGATGCATTTAAATTATGGTGTTGGCAAAGAATATTGAATATATCATGGACTACCAGAAGAACAAACAAATCTGTCTTGGATGAAGTACAGCCAGAATGCGCCTTAGAAGCAAAGATGGAGAGACTTCATCTCACATACCTCGTACATGTTATCAGGAGGGACCAATCCCTGGAGAAGGACATCATGCTTAGTAAAGCAGACGGTCAGCGAAAAAGAGGAAGACTGTTAACGAGATGGACTGACACAGTGGCTGCAACAATGGGCTCAAACATAGCAATAATTGTGGAGATGGTGCAAGACCGGGCAATGTTTTGTTCTGTTGTACATAAGGTCGTTATGAGTCAGAACTGACTAGACAGCACCTAATAACAACGACATGATGAAGGACCCTCCTCTTACCTCTAAGCTCAGCGCTTCTCAACTTTGGCTGCACATTAAGAAAATCCCAGTGCCCAGGCTGTATCTCTAGAGGTTGGATCCAGCCATCAGTAGTTTGCTAAGTTCCCAAAGTGAATTGCAATCACCGTGAGATCCATTGTGCCAGAACTCTCCTTCAGCTGTGTGTCATTTTATTATTTTTCTCACTTACATAGAAATGTTTAGAAATAAAAAATATAATGTTATCTTCAATGGCTCTAAAATAGTGGGATAATCTTAGAAATAAAAAAAAAATTCTTCTCTCTCATCCTCAGAGTCACATAGGTAGAAAGTAGAAAGTTCTCAGGCTTATGGAACTTAATAGCTCTTTAATAAATACCACCTCAGGGCTCCTAAAAAATGCTTGGGAGTTGATTGTTGAAGTAATTAGTTTTACAGAAGAGATAACAATACGCAAATTTAAGGTTGTTTCCAAATGTCTTTTCCAACCTAATAGAATGATACTAAACGCAAATTCACTTTTTCCCCTTGTGCTTCTTCAGGTTTGAAGCATAGCATTAAAAAGCTTTAAAACTTCTTGGAAGTGATAGAAGATCATTAAAAGTTCATCTTTTTGGTTACTGCCTTCCTTCTTTCTATTTTTGCTCTCGTTTGAGATTCAGTATCTCTCCTCTAGTCTCTTGATCTCCTAAGACATTCCTAGTCGACTTCCATTGATCGTGTTCCACCTAAGCCTAATGAGTCAAATTAGTAATTTTAATTAGCCTATAGGGACCATGTATTCTGTGGTACTAGGTTATATCATCTAAATCTTTCTAATTTAATAAATAACAACCTTCTCACATACCAGGTAATAAAGATTTCCTTATAACTTCTAAGTGTCCCATGTTATCTTTTCCACAGTCAGACAGGGGGAGCAAGAAAGCAAGATTTAAAAAATAATTTTTTCAATATTGCATTTTTCATAATTATTACCTCTCCATCAAGATTATGATTTACTGTAATGTGCACCATAAGTGAAGTGTTAACAAGTAGGGCACATGGTATGCAGTGGTGCATAGGCATATACTCCGTGAAGTAAAAACGGGAAGTCAAGACAAAAAACAAAAGCAGTTTTCACCCTTTTCACCCTGGGTAGCCTAGGACACAGTCAAGGAGTTCTCTAAACCAGAAGGAAAAGAAAGTGACTTCTTAGGTTAATGGACTCCATTGGGATTTCTCTACCCATTAAGTGAATGCAGTTGTTGAAGTTGCCAACAGGAATGACAGGACAGAGAATTTTATAACTACTTTTTTTTGGAGAAAAGGAAAAGGAGATACAGGAAGACTACCGAGGGGTCAAAGCCAGCTGTGAAAATCCCTAACATCCCAGCAGCACGTCATTCGACTCTCCCAGGGCTCCACGAATCTACATGTTGTATCACGGCCTGGAAGACTGTCACTGAGTCACCTTTCAGAACTGCTGCTGCCCTGGGTATGTGATACACATCAGCACTTGATACATAAAAAGGGAGGAACTCACGCTGGTTAGTCCAGCTATTCTTGTTCATGTGGAAGGGCATTACAATTCACAGCCAAGTCCACCCCTGAAATTATCCAACACTTCTCAAATGCTCTTTTATTTCCAGCCAGCTACATATGGCCTATGAGACTGGACTGACAGAGCCAAAGCAAGGCTGTCCCTCAGCCAGCTGGCAGCAGGTGGGGCTACAATCTGTGGCAATGAAGACAGCACTTCAGTGAACAGGCACCTTCCCCAGCCATGACTTCTTGGAGCCAACAGAGAGCCTCGGCCCCAGCACCAGATGCTCTTTACACCAACCGCCAACCACAGCCAAAGAGGACCAGAGTCCAGGGCAGTGAATTCAAAGCACTACTTTCATTCCTGCTTTAGTTACTTTTTAGTTCTTATCTATGTATCACATTCAATGTTTGTCCCTTATGAAGGGCCACAGATTATCTTTTAAACAACTAGTGCATTTCAAACGCTGCAAGCTAAGCATGAACCAAAAATGAGCATTCAAACTTGCATATTAATAGGTACATCCTTATCAAAGTGAAATGGCAATAACTAAGTGGTCGTGAAGGGCTCTCCTTCAGACAGAGACACAGATTTTCTCTTACCCTCCCATTTTGCAGTCTCCAGTTCCACCTTTCCAGGCTCTTACATACTTTGGATGGGCCCACAGGGACACTGGATTAAAGGTTCCACTTGAAAAATAAGGTCCCACCGGACTCAAGATTACAAAGAGCAGAGCTTTGGTTGGCTTCTTGACTCCAAGCGAGGGCTGCAATCAAGCGAAAGTAAGCACAGTTGCAATTTAAAATGTAGACATCAGCCTTTGAGTTTAGAATAGGTCTGTAACTATATCCCAGAAGACGCCATCTAATGACAGCAGCTACTACTTCTAAAGTTGAGTCACACAAAGCCTGATGGTCTTAGAAGAAGAAAACACTGAGCATGGAATTCTTAAGTTTCTTTTTGCTTTGCTTTCTCAGCTGTTAGGATTTTAGAGGAAAAACTAACTTGTAATTTTTCCCCTTTGTTAGTAGGGTTTTAAAGGACACGCATATTTTTAATAACTAGCTATATAACATCTGGAGCCCCGGTGGTACAGTGGTTAAGCATTTGGGTGCTAACCGAAAGGCTGGCAGATTGAATCCACCAGCCGTTCCTTGGAAACCCTGTGGGGCAGTTCTACTCTTTCCTATAGGGTTGCTATGAGTTGGAATCGACTCGATGGCAATGGGTTTGGTTTTTGGGTTTATATAACATCTTTCAATGTCCCGCGGATTGGGAATTGGGAAAGGGAAGACTCCAGACATATTCTTTTGGGGTGAAATATAAGATTTGCTTCTCTAACTTCCCCTTCTGTCTCACAGCCTAGTGACCAGTTGTGGACGTGTCCAGGCCTCTGGCAGGAGGCTGGTTACCATTACCACACCTGACTGTGTCAGGCACCAGACAGCAAGTGTGTAGCTTCACAGGAGTTAAAGACTAGACAAGGTAGACACCTTCAAAAACGCAGGTGATCAATGACTCAGGAACCTAAACCATAAATAGCAAAGATAGAAGACAGCCTTTCCCATAAACACTGGGAAACCATAAGCCAACAATGCAAAATCATACAAATTCCCCCAGCATAAAAACAGTTAGGATCAGTGGTTTATTAGGAGGAAAACTGAGAACTCAGCGGAGTGTTTTGAGGGCTAGGTATCATAAAGACAAAAAGTTACTGGGCTATCCTGTGCAATTTGAGGCCAGAAGAAGAAAACAAGTGAGGACTATAATATGATGTTAAGTGTCCTGGGACATATAAGCTGCTTATTGTATCCAGTCTTCCCTAGAGCTTGGTCTGCCTGGCGGGGTGACACAGAAAGGATGAGAGTAAAGGAAAAGGAGAATCAAGTCTAGCTGATTTTGTGGTTCTGTAATGTTTGGTGAAAACTTTCTGAAAGTGAACTTTAAGATATTTTTTCTGAATTGCAATTATATCTCCCAGCATTGCTCACTGACCCATGATCCCTCACCTACTACTTACCCAAGATTCTCAAGAATCAGGTAGGTGAAATATTCACAGGCATAAAAACATATCTGTGTATGTACACACTGATGTTATCTGAAAAGCGTGCAGCCCTTATGAAATGGGACATCAACTCCATTAGCAGTGCACATGAAGATGAGGACCAGGGAGGTCTGGAGGACCAGGCAGGCCTGGAGGCCATGGAGCAAACGGGGGATGGATGACCCAGGACCAAGAAATTAGTCAGCAACATCAGTATTGGGGTTTCTGCTTCTTTCACACGAGCTGGAGATTAAAGAAGAATAATCCTACCAATAAAGAATGGGGAGCCTTAAAGCTTCATTTGCCTTTTTAGGTTTCACTGTTTGGGAAGGAACAGCTCAGAATCATATGCCTATCTGCCTTTCTTCCCAGCTTTGATAAAACTTGGCCATCATATCTCTCCATTTGTATTTACCTATCAGTTAAGTAAGTATGATACCTTCATTTCAGGGATGCTTTGAATCTTAATATTTTAAATCTTTTTATGGACCCTTGTAATAAGGAATAAAGAGAAGCTTCTCAGTGTAATTTAGACATAACAATATTCAGGACACAGTCAATAACTTATGTAGTGTTATGGATTGAATTGTGCCCCTCCAAAATATGTGTTGGAATCCTAACCCCTATACCTGTGGATGTAATCCCATTTAGGAACAGCGTTTTCTTTGTAATGTTAATGAGGCCATATCTGTGTAGGAGGTGTCTTAAACCTAATCAATTTTGAGATATATAAAACGAACAGAAGAGACAAGCCAGCACACTCAGGGTGAAGATAGAGGCCACCTGAGGATCACTAAGGAACCCAGGAATACTGGGGCTACAGAAGCTGAAAGAGACAAGGATCGTCCCCAGAGCTGACAGCCTTCCCCCCAAACTGGTGCCCTGAATTTAGACTCCTAGAACAAGCTTCGTGGTGCAATGGTTAAGCGCTCGGCTGCAAATCGAAAGGTCAGAGGTTTGAACTCACCAGCCTCTCCACTGGAGAAAAGACCTGAAGATCTGCTCTCATAAAGATTTACAGCCTAGGAAACCCTATGGGGGCATTTCTACTCTGTCCTATAGGGTCACTGTGAGTTGGAATTAACTCAACAGCACACAACAACAACCGTAAGTCTCCAGAACTGTGAGAAAATAAATTTCTCTTCTTTAAAGCCACCCAATAGTGGTATTTCTGTTAGAGCAGTGCTAGGAAACTAAGAAATCTGGCTTCTAAGTTTCTAAATAAAATAGCTTGTCTGGAAAACTGATAATGTTTCATTAGGGATCACATTGATGCCTGGGTCTTTTTCTTTAATCTCTGGACTCATGTATTTTACAAGACATGTGCTATACTAAAAAAAAATTATAATAACCCATCATCGTGGCCATTTTTTCAGAGATGAATTCCATCTTAGCTATTCATTTCTCTTCCCTGATTTTAAATGACAGGTAAACTTGCATTTATTCCACTAGGTGGTAGTATAGAGAGCACAGATGGCAAACATAATAATTCTATGCATTAAAATTATTTCTAAAAAAATCTCAACTAACCTTTAAGTAATATTTTTATTCTTAGCAAGCTAGTAAATTACAGACTAGACTTTTTCAATGCTGAGAGAAAATCTGTATATGTGTACTAACATTTTATTTTCTGAAATTCAAGCAAGATCAATTCATGCTTTACAAGTGCTTAAAGTACTGATGTTGATCACAAATTAGACAACTTCATCCTTGAACGATTACTTATATTGTCTTTTCATGAAAAGAACTATGTGACTTCACTAAAAATGGTCACACTGCTTTAAGATTAAGAATAAACAAAATGCAACTACATCCATCAGGAAGGGAGCCTGGTAACTGGGTCTGCTTCCAACCCTCAGGAACCATTACTTATTCCTTTGTTTTAATTCTCCCTTCTATCCTGGAAAGCAATTTAAATTCTATGCTGTTGCTATGGTTAAGAGTAGTTTATTATATATTAATCAAATGGCAGTGGACACAATTCTGTGATGACAAGGTCAGGCTTCTGATCAAATAAAACAATAGCCACATAGAGAAAAAATGGAAGATAATAGCTGGTAAATTATATAAGTCAGTTTCAGTAAGTCTTGTTTCCTTATGGACAATTTGACTGATTTTATATTCTCTGTCTTCTTTATTTGTTTCTTGGATTATTTAAATACATATAGAATTGTGGGGGGGGGGTATCCATGAAAAATAAGGGACATAAAATCTCAGTTGCTAAGTGTATAACTTCTCAAGGAATCACACTGATTTTGAAGTTGAAATTTTAATGTGTTAAAAAAAATAAAAGGACTCTTAAACCTTGCAAATAACAAATGCATATACAAGGGTATTAAATACCCTTATATATGTATATTATATGTATATTTTACACATAATGATAAGACACTCTGGTATGATAGAAAATAAAAAGCCATGTCATAGTGAAAATTACTTCTTTCTGAGTCAGTTGTAAAATTATAGAAAAGCAGGATTTCAGAGGTTATTTGAATAATGGCAGAAAAAGAGCTCAGATAAGAGAGCTGAGAAAAGTACTATTAGTCCATATTTGGGCCTAGAAGGCAGGAAAAGGCTTAGGCGAGGCAAAAAAGTGACATAGAAATAAAATAACTGGAAATAACAGAACATTTTCCAGAAACAGTGGCCTGATCTTTGTTCCTGCTGGTTCTCTGAAAAGAATAAGGGGGGAAATGATAAAGAATATTGGAATGAGAGGTGCTACAAGGGGTGTGGAGAGAAGCAGCAATCCATGCAGGACTTTGAGTATTGTGAGGATCACAAAGGGAGGAACACCAATTCATGAGGTGTTTACGGAGGAAAAATTGGGAGGGCTAGTGAAAGACTGGGTCCCTGTGTGGCGCAAATGGTTAAGTTTTCAACTCCCAGCTGAAAGGTCGGCAGTTCAAACCCTCAGAAGACAGGGCTGGAGAACTGCTTCCAAAAGTTCAGAGCCATGAAAACCCTGTGGAGCAGTTCTACTCTGCACACACGCAGTTGCCGTGAGTGACAATCAATGACGGCAACTAACAACAGCAATGCTGAGAGATTAAAAATAATAACAACCCTCGATAGTTACACACTGGTTTTTGGCTTCCAAGACATTACACTTCGTGATCTCAAACAATCCAGGAAGTTAATAATTATAATTCCTACTTTTAAATTGGGGAAACTGAGGCTCAAAACAAATGAATTACCCAACATTTCAGTTCTTAAACTTGAAACTTTCTACCCTTAATCCAGAGCTTTTTTCACTATACCAAAGCTTTCTCATATGTAAAGGTAATGGGGTTAGTACAAGGTCTAAATTAGATAATATGTGAAAAGCACCCAGGACCTGATCATTTCCAGGCATTCAACAAACAGCAACTGCTATTATCACCTTTATAAATAACAATTGATAACAGTAATAGTGGTAAATCGGTCAATATTTTAGTGTTAGGAATGTGAATATGCAGAGCATAAAGATGATTATAGACTGTAGAAGTACAGTCAACACTCAGTATTGGAATTATACAAAATGGGCATTTAGAAAATAGGCAAGCATTATTATACTATCTGAAAAATACAAGTTGGTAAATTTGAAATCAATCTGTGAGGCAAAGAATTTAACTTTACCCAAAGAATTTGGTCTTTGTCCTTGGTTTCTGAAATACAACCTCTAAAACTTTGGAATTTCCCCAGTGATTGAAGGATCTTTGATGAGGCTTCCAGACTACATC